CACGCACGCACGCACACACACACGCGCCAGCGATCAGGTGTCGCAGCTACCATCAACAGTGGTGGATGTGCTGGACGGCAGCCTGCTTGGTCTTGCGTTTTAGGGGTTTTGGTTTGAGATTGTTTAGGCGTTTGCGTCATGTTGTTTTGGAGGTATTCATGTCTTTTAAGGATTTGGGATCCAGTCTTCCAATTATTCTTTGAAGGGGACCCATCTGGGGGTTTCCATGCTAGTCCAGGCTAGCCTTGAGGAGCTTCAAGAAGTATGCCAGCAGCTTCTCTGCGCCTCCCTCTTGGACCCAGCCCTCAAACAGCGTGGTGGCCCTTGAGGTAGGACTGTTGCTGCAGGGATTTTGAAACTACCTTCAAAATGGGAGCATTGATATTAGCGGCATCACTGCCACGGATTCTGTTCTGGGCCCGCACTTCTGAGAATGTTTGAGACCAGAGGATTCTCAAAGCCTAGGCACAACCTGTGCTCTCTGAAGGACTTTAACTTCAACATAGCTTGCATACTGGGTTGCAGTGAATTAATGATGCCTTCCTGTCTCTTGAAGGGAATTCAATTCGGCATGGTGGGAGTTCAATTCTCAGGTATTGCAACCGCGGCGCTCCCACAGCTGTTGCAGCTCTTACAGGACTGCTTGATGGTTTTTCATATATCTTCAGCACGATGAAATGCGTGCTTCTTGGATAGGAAGGATGCAGACAGCCACAATTCAGCAAGGTAACAGGGAGAAACCCAGATGGCATGACTCCGTGCATCAGGAATACCCACTACATGATCAGCCAAATCTTGTTTGTATGAAAGCCCGGAGGAAGAGAACGGCGAATTCAGCAGCTTCTCTTCGGTTCTGAAGGAGCCCGCGCCCATTGATTTGCAGGCTGCCTTGTGCAAAGGTTGGGCACGTCCGGCATCAGTGGGAAGTACCACAGAGCTGGCCAAAAGAGACGAAGTTCTCCGCGAAACAATCACTGAGTTGGAAGCTCGTCATTTAAAGCATTTCGCCATTGCTTTGATCTTTTACTTTGACAACAGACCTGGTGCAACGTGAGTTTCTTCGGTGCAAGATCAACCCAGGAAGAGGAGGGCTTCGTTAACCATGTGATCAGCCAAGAGTCAGCACCTCTTCGAACACTGTATGCGCAGGTTCAGCTGTCTGATGTCCCATCTTGCAACCCGCTTCATGGACTCCCGGACAGCATCCATGGCCGCCACCTAGTCGCTGTGCTGCAGGCTCTTCGGCTTATGCTTCGAGAGGTGCGTGCTAGAAAGGCTGAGCTGGATCGAGGCACAGTCTGGAACCCAAGGGAGGGACTGAAGCCATTGCCTGGCTCGTTCATCGAGCAAATGAGGGCAGAGGCTGCCTCTCTGCACGATGTGCAGGAGGAGAAGGATGCTTGGTGGGATAGCCAGCCAGACTATGCACCATCGGATGCCTCAATGCGTTCAGCTATTCTCATGAGTGCCGATGTCGATATGATTGGATTCATGTGTCTTGCTTGGAATGTTTCGACCCTCTGTGTATCAGCAAAAATTTTTTCCAGAAGCGGATGTGATGCGACCATTCTCCTTCACCACCGAACCATAATACCTAGACCCAGAGCTATGAAGGATTTTGAGCTTTGCAAGGTGGTGGGCTTGCCAAGCAAGCTTGGATGTCCCTGAGCATGTGAAGCGTTTCAGTGCCAACACGTTCATTAGTCTGCTCTTGCGTGGCTGTGGCTGGGGCAGTTTTAATACACATGGTAGTTTCCTTAAATAAGGGGACGCCATCTTAGACCCCACCCAAATACTAGAATCCTCATCATAAGGATCCCCAAACGGGCGCCACTAATTTTAGGAAACCCCCGACATCTACTTTTCCTTGGGTGCGTGCCTTTTAGGGTTCAATCTGCAGGAGTCCAGGCATGGAACTTGGACCCTCAAACCAGGAGCTTTTAACCCTACTTAGGTGGCTTCCACGTGGACTCAATCCAGGAAGGAAGAAGCCTTCAAGGTTCCGATGCCAAGCAGGAGAGGGTTTTTGACGTGTCTCTAACATTGAGTTTGAAGAGCGAGACGAAGAGGATGGTGGTGCTGCCGGTGAAGATTACGTAACTGATGATTCAACAGAGCTAGAGAAAGAGACAGAGAGAGAGAGCGAGACGCACGCACACACACACAGCAGACATCACAACAAGGACCATGAGACATGTGACATGAGCATGTTTGTCGCGTCGGACGCTTCTAATTGCTGGCATCAAAGTGATTGAAGAAGCCGTGGACCCTGTACCCCAAACCCTGTACTGTGTTGAGGAGGAATGCTTAAACAGACTCCTGGTCTTGCAGCTAGGCCGCAAAGGAGGTTTTACGAGAACAAGTGCATGAAACATACAATCCGCAACGGCGCCTTACTCTGGACTTGGGGGATGACTTTCTTGAAGAATCGGGCATCTGATGACAACCTTTTTAGTTTTAGGGGTGTCCCTCTGCGCTCGTGAATTCTCCTGGGTCTCCAAGCAGTGAACGTCAATCAGGGTTCTACTACAAGGTTACTGAAAATAATTTTTGATTTCTGTT